GGTGACTGATTTCCTTAGTATTCTCTTTGTGTTCTACCAAAGTAAACGGAGTCCGATTCCCGTTCTTGTAGCTACCACTTATCACTAGCATCACCAAGAAATAGACTTGTAAGTTTGGGTATCTGGGACTTAAAAGCTGTTATACCGTTCATTTTGTTTTGGATTCACAAGTTCGCAAATGGGCGAGTCAATTTTTTTTCCAACTGATATGAAGGTCGTGTTGGAACTGAGCAATCGACAAAAGAAATGAAAATTGAGATCCATCTTCTGTTGCTAGATTGTCATCTTCAGTTGTAAAGAATTGCTAATGTCATGTGTTGTTTTATAGACAAGTTAATGCATTCTGGATATTTATCCATTTGTCAATTACAATGTGCATAACCATGTGTTCTATGTCATGCTTGACCTTTGTTCTATTATGAGAACTGTGAAACCTGTCACAGTAGTCTTCCATTTCAAGTGCGATAGTTAATTTAATTTGTTTATTTAGTGTTTTAAGATGAAATATAAGTTCTAGGACAACTATACACTACACTAACAAGCCCCTTCCAGTTAAATTCTTATGTTGCATATTATATATCTTGCAGGGACCTGAGGTGAGAAGTGGAGATGTGCCAAAACCCATACTCCTTAAGGAGGGTCAAGAATTCAACTTTACCATTAAAAGAGGAGTCAGCACAGAAGACACCGTTAGTGTTAATTATGACGATTTTATAAATGATGTGGATTCCGGTGACACACTACTCGTTGACGGTAATTGAATTTATACTAATTCATTTTTTCTTGATAAACACTATTTCTTTAGCTGAAACATTGGTATAGCACAAACCATGTCTTTAAAAGACAAATCTGGTACTTGCTTCGGTATGAGAGGACTTAAAAAGCGCCTTTGGGTTGAATGTGAGAGGCACTTGTCTTGTCTAACAGTTCCTGTGAAATTCTGGAATTGTATTATGTAATTAAGTTTTCTTGGTTTATTAACTAATTGGAGCACACAAAACTGGGATTGTGTTATCCAATTGTGAATTGTTCTTGCAAAGAATAAAAATCATTTTGTTACTGTTTTGGAATGAGGTGGCATCTCAAGCGAAAAAATCAACGAGTAGAGTGCTCTTTGAATCCAGATTTGTATTTTTGTCTCTTGGTAAAAAAACCTTTTTGTCACGGAATCTCAATTACCTACTCTTCTTCATCCAGGTGGGATGATGTCATTAGTTGTGAAGTCAAAAACCAGCGATGTAGTGAAATGTGAAGTTATTGATGGGGGAGAACTGAAATCAAGACGGCATCTAAATGTAAGAGGAAAAAGTGCCACCCTACCTTCAATAACAGGTTTGTTCAATTTCTGGAACCCCACCTCCCTACAACATTTTACTTACTAATTTTTTACTAATACAACACTTAGCTTGGTCTTTTTTTATAAATTATACAGAGAAAGACTGGGATGATATTAAGTTTGGCGTGGACAATCAAGTTGACTTCTATGCTGTTTCCTTTGTGAAGGATGCAAAGGTGGTCCACGAATTGAAAGATTACCTTAAAAGTAAAGTTTCTAATACCTATTATGTTTTTCTTGAGATAAGGATCTCCTACATGTAACCTTGTCAAAGGCTTTCATAGTTGTATTCCTTCTTTTTTTCTGAACTTGGAAGAGCTACTTTGCAGGTTGTAATGCAGATATTCATGTTATTGTAAAGATTGAAAGTGCAGACTCCATCCCAAATCTCCACTCGATCTTAACTGCATCTGATGGGGTTAGTTCAGTGTGTTAAAAATGTTGTCTATTTAATTAACTTCACTACTCATACTGTTTTTCCTATGTCAGTGTGTGACTGAGTGTGTTGGGTATGGCTCCGTAACGAAAATGATATCAGTATTATTATTGTCTTCTGTCTATTTATCGAGTGAAGGATGATGCAGTGAAAATGTTGGTGCAAAATAAAATGGATTTGATCTGTAATTTGCTTTTCTAAGTTATGTTATGCAACTGTTGATAGGCGATGGTGGCCCGTGGTGATCTTGGAGCTGAGCTTCCAATTGAGGAAGTCCCGCTGCTGCAGGTAATCTCAATGCTGATGCATACAGCTACATTTCATGAGCCTTTTAATAGGTGTTATCAAGTGCTGAGATGGTTAGATCTTTATAATACCATCTCTTGCTAAAGAAGACTCATGTTCCATCACAAATCACATCATCTTGGTTAAATCCATGCTCTTTGGTCAGTATGGCGAACAAAATATGACGAAATCATAGAAGGAAGGCGAGCAATCGTTGAATATATTTATGTGGTATTACTGTTGATTTTTCACAAAAGATTTTGTTGTTATAATCGCCATCGCAAGTTAACAGAATGTTCAAAATATCAGTAGGTTTATAGTTATAAATATTTCCGTGGCAACTGAAGTCTGAACAAGAATGTTTTATAATATCACTCAATTGCATAGATTTGGAATCAAATGCTCCTAGTAGTTCGGAAGGAGAAACGTAGCACTGATGCATATGAAAAATCTGCATGTTAGTAGATCTACTGAGCTTGGAGTTTCCTGTTTACTTTTGAACTATTTCTCCATGTCAGTTTATCTGCCTGTCTTTCCAATATACACAGCTGTGGTTCCCATTGATTCAAACCTGTCCTGTTCATTCAGCCTTTTAACCCCTGGTGCATCGGCAGCAATAAAACCCCATTGCAAGTATAGGAGAATTATCGTTCTTCAATACTCTTTTTCTCTCCTTTCATTCAGCATGGTTTACTTTCAAACTACATTTACACCTCTTTTCTGAACTGAATGTTGTGTGGTATTATCATACTCTTGTCAAAGATTAGTTACTTATTGTGAATTTTTGTCGCAAGGAAATGATTGTTCTTATTCCTGATGTAAATTGAAATAAACCAACAGGGAAACGTTCACTAGTTTAGGAGGCCTAAGTTTCTATCTATTAACATAATCAATTTGATTCTCTTGATTAACACTTAAAAAGTAAGTGCTAGAATTACTGAAACGGGAATGACCACTGAACTGCATTCCTTCTGGCTACCGTCAATGATCTTTTCTCTTGGATAAATTCCTTCTTTTGTGTCTACTTTAGGAACTTAGAAACTGAAACTGTTATCACATGTATACACAGGAAGACATTATTAGAAGGTGTCGGAGCATGCAAAAACCTGTAATAGTAGCCACCAACATGCTTGAAAGCATGATAGATCATCCAACCCCAACTAGGGCAGAAGTCTCGGACATCTCTATTGCAGTACGTGAAGGTGCTGATGCTATAATGCTTTCAGGGGAAACCGCTCATGGGAAGTAAGTGTTGTTCTAGACACAAACTATTCCAATTAGAATCCTCTTTTTATTTTGTGTTTTTTTGTTTGTTATATTGTGTGTTATTTAGTAAACTGGAATAGTTGATTTGCAAAATAATGAACCATCTATTTCAACAAATGCATAGGTACCCGTTGAAGGCAGTTCACGTGATGCATGTTGTGGCATTAAGGACTGAGTCAAGCCTACAGAACAGCACTACTTCTCCAAGCCAATCTGTCGCCCATAAGGTATATGTGGTGTGCGGATTATATGTATTATAGTTTGTTAACTTCATTTTGCAATTAGCCTTCTCTCAAAAAGAGTTACTGTATTATCGGATCTTTATCTATTTTTATTTCCCGTATTGTACAACCAGGAAATCACGTTCAACTTTTATCATAACGCAAAATGCTTATCTGTTTGATATATTTTGCAGGGCCATATGGGTGAAATGTTTGCCTTCCACTCTTCCACAATGGCTGATACCCTTAGCACTCCCATCATTGTCTTCACAAGAACTGGGTCCATGGCAATAATTCTAAGTCATAAGCGACCTTCGTCAACAATATTTGCTTTCACGAACAAGTAAGTAAATTAATATATTGGCTCATAGTTTGATCTACATATCAATCCATTTTTATTGATTGACTAAAACGGGCTGAGCTAAAAAATGGACGGATCAATGACTAGGGTCATGTTTTCACAGGCTAACGTTGCCACCTCTAGCAAGTGGCTTCTCCATCTCTCTCTATTTATCTATCTATCAAGATGTGTTTACGTACTGTATTTATTGACATGGGACATGAATTTATGTTTTGTGCCAGTGAAAGGGTGAAGCAGCGTCTTGCTCTGTTTCATGGTGTCGTCCCAATATATATGGAGTTTTCAGAAGATGCAGAGGAGACCTTTTCCCGAGCTATCAAGCTTTTAGTGGTTAGTGACGTTCTCCTGTCTTTTTAATGTGTTTTTTCCCTCGTGTTTGAGATTGCGGATGCCCCATCCAAACACAGCTAATTCTTCTGTTTCGTTATCCTGTAGAACAAAAGCTCGGTGAAGGATGGGCAATATGTCACGCTTGTCCAAAGTGGAGCACAACCTATCTGGCGTAGGCATTCTACTCACCACATACAAGTCCGTAAGGTCCAAAGTTGATACGTGTATTCGTATTCTTTGGTCGAAATCATGTTGAGTGGTAGACTTCTAGGATACAGTTTCTTATATACAGTTACGCATTTGATGAATTTGGAGAAATCTTTTTACAATTTCGAGATAAACATGTATCTGTTTTGGCATTGTTTGTATCATTTTTGTACTTTCAGCAAATCTGAGAATGGAAGCTTAAGATTTTGATAACTTTGTTTAGCATCATTTTAAAATTTATCATTGTCGCAATTCCATTTGGACATGTCATGGTACATCAGAAATCAGAAAATACGTGTGAAATTTCACTGAGTATGTTTGTTGATCACGGGCAAAGCAAAACCGGAACTGTTTAAAGGTTTTTGGAAACAGCCTCCTCTATGCATGGGTCTACTGCATTCACTTGATGGTAAGTTAAGGAATTTTGGGGAAAAAAGAGGTGATTTCGATCGAAATAGAATCCCCAATACCAGGTGGGAGTATTAGGCTTGTTCTGCTTCGACAGAGGCACTTTAACCATAAGTAGAATAACGATAACTCGTATTAAAAAGTAAAATGTGTACAAAAGTTGAGGAGATATAGTTCATCCTCTTATTTATTTTAATGTGGCAAATATGCCTAAAGAAATATGAGAAAGTTACATTAAACTTCACATTTATCATCTTCCTTTACTTGTTGATTCATTTCGCCACTATGCTTTATACCCTTATACCACTTGGCACAGGCTATGAAAGCAACTAAATCTAAGATTGTCAAGCCAGCTAAAAGAAAGTAAAACCTGTCTAAATGACCTTCATTGAGGTTACCTGGGATCCATCCAGACATGTTATCAGTTGTTGAAATCTTCATCACAACGCTCACTAGTAAGCTACTCACGTAGTTTCCCAGTGATATCGACGTCATACACAATGCACTTCCGAAGCTCTTGAGACCCTCCGGTGCTTGCTCGTTGAAAAACTCCAGCTGACCTACGTACATGAACACTTCTGAAGCTCCTATCAAAGAGTACTGAGGAACCTGCCAAAAGATACTCAGTGAACTTGACCCTTCACAATGTCTGCACTCTTTTTTCGCGTACTTGAGCCTGTAGCACTCCACAATTGCTGCTGAAAGCATTGCCATTACAGCTATCACTAGTCCAATACCCATCCGTTGAAGCTGAGTTATCCCTTGACCCTCACCCTTTATTTTTTTAATGTTTTTGACTATAGGATCAAGGACTCGACGATACAGGAATATGAATACTGCTACACTCATGATGTCGAAGGTAGACATACTAGCAGCAGGAATCCTGAAGTTCCCGATGCTAGTTTTCATGGCGTCACCTTGCTCAACAAAGATTGACGCCATCTGAGTAAACACTACTGAGTAAACTATAGTACATAGCCAAATTGGCAATAGCCTTAAAATGCACTTAACCTCTTCAACTTGTGAAACAGGGCAGAGGAGCCATTGGTTGCGATTCTTCTCATGGTCCTGTTCTTTGGATGTAATCAGGGCCGCTCTATCCAAGAATCTACGTTTTTAAAACAATTTCTTATTAGAACTGGGTTAAATACACAACACAGACACAAGTTCTTTGAACATTAGTGTTATGTTACTCACCTGAAACCATGAGTATGTAGCATTTTTCTATCGCTCTCATCATTGCCTTCATATAACTCGTCTTCATTCTCTGGTGTCTCTACACTCCATTTCTTCGATGCAGCGACTATAACCTGAGAAAACCTGATTATAGGATTGCCACTAGACCTGAAATGCCTATACTTCGCGGTGCCTCCAAGAAAGAGAACCAAACCAGCAAAAGCAGACGCAGCAGACGCCCAAAAACCAAGAGCCCATTTTCCTTCATCCTCAAAGTAGTCTAAAACAGTGTTGGAGAAAAGCGAACCAAGGTTTAGGGCTAGGTAGAAGTAGCTGAAGAAGGCTAGTTTCGATTGTTTCTCCCTAGGATCACGTGCATCGAACTGATCAGCTCCAAATGTAGCAATGTTAGGTTGGTAGCCTCCGTATCCGAGAGCAATCATGTATACAGAGACATAGAATAGACTGATCTCCATGCTTGAATGCTCTCCACATAAAATTTCTCGTTCCCCACAACCTTCCGGTTTGAGCAAGTAACGCTGTGTCGTCAGTGATAACAGTACTAATCCCTGTTAAACAAGTAATCGTTGCATTAATTACTAGTTACTTCCTAGAATTCAAGATCATATTGAACTAACATATCCAGGGTAATTCCACAAGTGAGGTCTGAGAAGGGTAGACTGTACGCAAACCTTGCACCTAAAATAGAGAGGTTGTTTTCGATAGATATAAAGCGTTACTAAACACTACTAATATACTAAGTATGGCAAGTAAATGGTTACTTACAGTTACATAGATGACTTGAAAAATGGCACAACTTTTGAATCTTCCCCAGTAAGAGTCACTAAGAAACGCGCCAAGAAGAGAGAAAATGTAGACAGTGCCCGTCCATATGCTCACATTATTCGCAGCTTCAGCATTGTTTTGTTGCAGCACTCTTGTTAGGAACAACACCAAATTCACTCCAACACCAAAAAACGCGAGAGTAGCTAAACCTTGATTCACTGGATTAAGTCACAGAGGAAATAACATTATAGTTGAATCAATTGACTTAGGGTTTATCGGTGTTTACACAGTGGTTAGCTAGTTATAAGTCGATCAATCAAAGTTAAGAGAGATTCGTCTATGAGACAGTTGAATTAGTACATTTCGTCATGTGGATGTTACATGCCCCTAATAGTGGGATTTAGCATGGTTATAACTAGGTAAATCAATTGATCAAGCCTGAGACACAGTTAGGGGAATGTAACATCCACATGAATTAGCATGGTTAACTAGGTAACTCGATCGATCAAGTACAAGACACACTTTATCCTCTCAAGTAAGAAAAACCACACATTGGGGCAAAATATTTAATATAGTACTAGGTTTGATAAATAGGTAGTAACAACAAATATTTCATTTGTCTCTCTTCCAATTAATTTATCGTCAATAGGCTTTATTTTCTTAGATTAGTGGTTAATATTAGTGATAATTGTACACCTAAAAAAGTACTTAACCATGACATTGACAAGTAAGTGATATTCCTACCACATTTGAATCATTCACTATGGAAGGTGTCTTTTTCTAGAGTATGTTGTGGAAAGAAATAAAAGGTGCTACCTCCCTCCGTCCAATTTTACTTATCCAGTATTTATTATATCGTTATTTTAATATAATAAATACAATATTTAGGGAAATGACTATGTTCAGTAACATAATAAATTATCTGTTGATTAGGAATTAAATGATAAATTATAATATTTCAATATAAACAAGTAAAAGTAGACATTCATTTTTAATATATTTTGACAAGTAAAAATGAACCGAAGAAATAGTAAAATTTTGATTCCTCTATAATTTTTCCCTTTTTTAAATCAAGCAAGTACACAAGGAATCACTCAAATGTCAAAACTTGCCAACACTATGCCCTAATACCAACTTGCCAACATGATATGCCCTAATGTCAAAATTTACCAACACTATGCCCTTTTTTGCGATTTTTTCTGTGCGTCAAGTACTATAATCATTAATTATTTTACGCGATATGTAGATCTCATGTGTGACCAAATTTTCAAGTACTCCTTAAAACATGTTAGGCGTATATATCGCCCAATAGTATTAATAAATATTGTAATCGATCCTTACCCTTCCTTCCTTACACTAGCAATAGTCATTTTTTGCCACTCTCTTGTACTGATGCATACTAATTTATAATATATTACTATTCTTTTGTGGGATAATGCACAAGTAACCCCTCTCAATCTATGCTCGAAATCTCATAGACACACTTATACTATACTAAGGTCCTATTACCCCCTGAAATTATTTTTTAAATAATTTTCTGTCCCTTTTCGCCCTACGTGGCACTATCTTGTCGATCCAATGATGGTTGACATTTTTTTGAAACTAGTGCCACGTAGGCTGAAAAAAGGGTAGAAAACTACTTATAAAATAAGTTGAGGGGGTTAATAGGACCTTAGTATAGTATAAGTGTGTCTCTGAGATTTTGGGCATAGATTGAGTAAGTACTTGGGCATTATTCCTTTCTTTTGTACCAAAAATATCAAGTAGGTAAAAATCCTCCATTTCGAACTTGTCACTACACTCTCGATAAAAGGCAATGTATATATGACCAATGACTAATCACATAGAACATGATACGAACATGGCTTATTTATTGATACATTTTTATATCTTGAATACGTCATTCTTCTGCGCACTATACGCCAATGATAAGAACACTTCTATTTATTGATACGTTTAATACGCTATCCTTCTATATACTAGTTCAAACAACCAAACAAAAGAAGTTACAATAAAGAACACCGATAATCATTAATACGCCTTTCAGTTTTAAACACGCCATCCTTTTACGTACTAGTCCAACAACCGATTAGAAAATGTTATAACAACACCGATATTCACTATTGATATGCCTTTCAGTTTTAACACGCCATTCTTCCACGTATTAAACCAACAACCAATCAGAAAATAATATAAAAACACTTTATTTTTATTGATACACGTTTCTATATTCAATACGACATCCTTCTACGTACTAGCCCAACGACCAATTAAAAAGCCGTGTAAGGACACTAATGTTCATTGATATTTTCAATTTTTAATATGTCATCATTCTAATAGGTCAATTAATGCATGCATGTTTAGCGCTGAAATTAAGTTTAGTTTAATAATCATCTTACATCCCTAATAATCATGTTTCTAGTAATTATGTAACACAAATTATATTTTAGAAGAAAAAAAAATAGGATAAGCAAAAATCCAGATCAATTATGGGGTCCACCAAGAACAATTTTTTTCATTATATGACGTGGCACCCATATTTTTATGAATATATTTTACGTGTCGAAAATGTATTTTCTATTATTGCATGGTTTTAATTTGTCATCACCCCCACCCCCTACTCTACCCCACCCCACCTCTTCCACTGTTGTCTCTTGTTTTTTTCCACTGAAATTTTGCTATTACTGCCAAAAAATCTCATCACAAAAGTACATAAATTAAAGACTGGAAGTTCCTTCTTTGAACTCTCAAACCCCAACCCCAAGTTTTATTTTTATATATATACAAATTTCATATACGTAAGTATATAAGTAGAGCTGTCAATATGAGTGGATATTTTTTGACACATGTCCTTAATATTTAGCTAGTAAAACTAGTCTTTTTCTCTTATAGCTCTTTGGCATTTTCCCATATGATAGCTGGCTCCATTTATTACTCTAACTCTCACCATTTCCCATAGTTATCATCTTTTTCTTTTATTTCAATAATAAAAATAGAAAAAGTAAAAAAAAGAAATAGAAAGCAGATGTTTTTTTTTTTAAGAAGTTGGAAACTCGAAAGAAAAAAAAAAGATTTCTTGAAATTCGTTAAGTTTAGACATGTATTTTTATTAACTATAACTTTAGTATTAAAATCTGAAAAAGATAGAATATACGTGAATTGTGCCTTTTTTATTTTCGATAGGTAAAAATTAATGATATTAAGTATCCAAACTTGTAGAACTCTTCCACAAAATCTAACCAAAAAAATTAGGCTAATGTATCATATTATTTTTTTTAAAAAAAAGATATTTTTTTTTATGTCTTAACCACCTTTTCCACATAGCAAGTCAAAAACAAAGGGGGGAAAAAAAGAGTCAGTCATTAAGTCAGAGAATTTAATACCACATATATATAGACTATGACATATCTCAACACTTATTTTAATGTGGGGAAAAAAACTATAATATATAAAAAGTAAAGATAAGTACCTTGTAATATCAGTTTTTTTTTTTTGCCTTTTTCAAGGCAAAAATAATTTTTTTAATAAAAGAAAAAAAGAAACTTACATAGAAGCATAATTCCAGCTAGCCATTTTCCAGTTTTTGCTTTGTTTGCAGGCATTCCATAAAAATCAACAGTTCCATCATTAGTACAATCTTCTTCTTTTCCTTTCACCTATTCATCATCATCAACATTTCATTTCCAACAAAAATAAATAAATAAATAAAATTCACATTTTTTTTAATGTATAAATACTATAACTAAGTGATCATTCTCTTTTCACTTTCTTGATTATTTTTCTTATAAAAAAAAAGTTCCCTTTGCATGAGAAGATTATAAAGATATGTGATTTTCTCTACAACACAATATAGGTAAATGGTTGGCACTAAGAACAAAGAAGAGGGAGTTAAATTCATGATTAATATAACTAATTAATTAATGATCATTACAAGAATTTATTTTTTTTAAAAAAAATTATATTATACCTCTTTAGAGAGTTCCAAGCAAGCCATTGATGATAATTATGATGACTCCAAAAAAAAAATTAATAAATTGAAAGAGGAGATGTTTGATAGTGAAAATGAAGAGAGAAAGTAAGTTGGTTGAGAGTATGGATAAAAGTGAGTGACAAACATTTGTATTTATAGAGGTTTGAGGCACTTATTGTCTCTAACGGTGGAGATTAACTTGTGGTGGAAAAATAAGTCATAGAGACGTAGCTAATAATTAAGTAAATAAAAATGTGTTCGATATATTTTATTGTATAAGTTTTCAGATGAAATAATCACATATTATATCATAGTATAATATGGTATCAAGAGTATGAATTATTCCATTTTTTATTTTTTGGTGTAGGACTTTTTATATTAAATTGTTTATGCATTAGATGTCTAGATTCAGATTGAGTTCGAGGAATTTAATGAGTCCCGAATTGTCCCTTTAAGGATGAGTGACTTTTTATTTTTATGATAGTGTGGTTGCTTTTTGAGTTTGAGTTAAACATGAGATTTATTTACAAATATAAGTTATATGTATATACTCGCGTATATCAATTTAGCTAGTTAATTATCAAAATGTTATTATTTATCAAAAAAAGTAATTGTAATTATGTTATGTGCTATCAATAAGTGGTCTCATTATATAAGTACTATTTAATCTATATTGTATAGGATTTAAACTCTTTTGAAGATATTATTTAGTACCTATTTAAAGAGGCGAAGATAGAAATAATCGAGAAATGAAGTTGATAATTTTTGAACGAAAGGTATTCAACTGATTACTCGTTCACGCGGGATGTGGGGGGGGGGGGTTGAGGTTAATTTTCTCTATGATATTTGAATAGTGACAACTAATACTTTTAGGGTCCCTTTCTATATCCCTCTTGTCTTTCAAATGGTTGCTTTGATTTTGACATATGAAACATTCACTCATTTCAATGATAAAATAGTGTATGTTTTAATTTATTGAAAGTTTTGACTATCTTAGTTTAAAAGTGGACTATTCTTTAATATCGACTCTTTATTTTAAATATAAATTAAGCATCATGTGTATAATTAGTGTTTTCTTATTCCTTTTATACGCTTTGAATTATTGGTTTTCATTTCACTAATTATATTCTAAGATCTTAAAAGTTAATTTGTTTTCATTTCACTAATTATATGAAAAGAATTTGAATATTTCATTAAAGATTATTCGAATTTTTCAGGCAATGAGTGAAATAGCTTAGGATCTATCTTTATAAATTACTCAACGGGCTAATTAATGAGTAATTTGGAGCGAAATTAGGCTTATCATGCGGAATAAAATTTATTTCCGTTTATTTTTACTTGTTCAGTATTGACTTGACATGTTTTTTATAAAAAAAAATTAATAAATCTAATAATAATTTTACGATATCATCTTTGGATATCATGAGTACAATAATTTGGGAAATGATGACTATAATTAGTGATAAAGCGTAAATTAGAAACTGTATGCTAAATTATATCTTTGATTTTTCAAATTAGATGATCTAAGAAGCTATCTAAATTAGGAATATTCATTAGACGAATGAAAAGGTATTTTTTAAGAATAATATTATTTTTGGATATACTATATAAAATACGAAACAACATCGTTGTTATATATATTATTCTTTACATAATAGAACTAATTATGCACCTACATAATTTTTATTCTTGAAATGATTCGAACAATCTTCTTGAAAGAGCTTGAATTTTGTGAAGAGAATAAGAAGTTAGATTCTAACAATTGATAATTGAAGTATATATTTTCTTGGAATAATTAAGCTATTATTAATGACTTAAGTTCTCTAGATTTGCAGCATCTTCAACTTGGGGCTCAATTATGTTGGAAGTGGATTAGATTCCAATTAAAAAAAATAAAATTGATTATTCATTTCACTTGAAAAAAATAACAAACATATTCATTAAAAGTAATTCTTTATTTTATATTGTGGCCTCATTCTAAAGAAATGGTGCAATAACAATACTTTCTGGCCATCATAAAAAAATTTCTATGAAATTTCAATAATACATTTTTACTTCAAAATTGATGAATCCTTTGTCATGTCACAAATTTGTGATTGGATTGTCATAATTTTCTTGCTGGTCATAAATTTTGTCAATATTGATTAACTTTTGACCTAAATTGTCATAATTTTGTGATTGATATCAGAAAAACTACGTAAATGAATTATAAAATTTAAAATAGTTACGTGTATATATCTAAATTTAAAGTAATTCAAGAAATATATTCTCTTTCTGTCTAATAGTTACAGCTCATACCACCTTTCAATAATGTTGATAATCTTCGTTTAACTGATACTAAATTGGTATTATATTAGTATCATTAAGATTGATAATTTTGCTTAATTGATACTAATATATATATATATATATATATATATATATATATATATATATATATATATATATTCAGAAATCACTCATTAGTCAATGATACTATAAGAGTATATATATATATTATATTGGTATCATTAAGGTTCTTGTTCAGAAATTACTCAATAATAAATGATACTACAAGAGTATATGTATATTGTTGTGGTATTATTAAGGTTTTTTGTTCAGAAATTACTCATTAGTCAATGATACTATAAGAGCACATATATATATTTTTATGGTATCATTAAGATTTTTTATACAAAAATTACTCATTAATCAATGATACTTTAAGAGATTATGTATATTTTTATGATATCACTAAGGTTTCTTATTCAGAAATAACTCATTAGTCAATGATAGTATAAGAATATTAATTTTGAACAAAAAACCTTAATGATACCCAAGAAGAAAGTACTCAATTGATTAACAAATTGTTTGAATTAATTTATTTTTAAGGGGTTTTAATCTAAAATAATTTTAAAATATTTTTGAAAATTTGGATAAATTAGAAATATTTGATTTAAATCTAATAAAATATTATAAAAATAATTCAGAAATCATAAATTAAAATTTCTTATAAAGGTCAATCCAAACATACACAAAATTTTGAAGCAGAATAGTTAATTTATTAGGGCTTTTCTTCAACACACTTGAGAAGATAAAAAAAAAACTAAAACAAAATTTGCATAGGGTGGAAGAGAGTTAGGTATTAGTTCATAGGAGGAACATTCATATAGGCTTGCTTTGTATTTCATATAGCATATTGATTTTTGATTGGTAAAATCAAAATATTTTTTTAAGTTTGATTGGTAAAAACAAATTGAAAAATATTTTTTCTGTAAGAAAATTCTTTAAAAATGAGAAAAATAACAGTAAGAGCGAAATTTGGTGTAACGAGATGAAAAATAATTTAGCAAAGGCATATGTTTCTTTTTTCATAACACAAAATGATTTCTTTAAATTTACAAAGAATCAATATATTTTATATTTTTAGTGTGGAAGAGAGAATATATTATCCCCAAATATATATATATATATATCACTACCTTGATAAATAAATTGGAAAACAAGAATAAGAAATTGGCTAAATTAATGAATAAGCAATTGATGAAAAGAATAATTTCCTAGTTTTTTTTCTTTCTTTTTCAACTTTTTTCTATATTTTTAATGTTCTTTTCTTGTAGATTATGCGTATCAACAGCCATGCAAAAGAATAAAATTTGATGCCAATCAAATTAGCATATTTAAATTCTTCTTGCTTCTTTTTCCTGTTAAAAATTGATCACGCCTATATTATAAATATATAGTTTTTACAAATAATTCAATCAAATTCATAGAAATTAGACTTAACACGATCGTACGTATAAAGAATCATTTACTTATATAGGTAGATTAACTAGATAATGTATCGTATAAAGATATCAAAATTAACCGATAAAAATATAACATAGACGAGCAAAATTTTAGACACGTTACTTTGAGCATCATATAAAAAAGTAATTTATAAAAATGATCTTAAATATAGGTGATCTTAAATTTTTTATCTCACTTTTTTTATGAATTAAACTTCTAAGTGAGCCAAATTTAAAGAACCAAAACACAAAGAAGGTCCTACGATAAATATAACTTTTTTTTTCTTAATTAGAGATTTTTGTTTTGATCTTCAAGCCTTGATTATGGTCAGAAGAGCTTCTTTTAAATGGATCTTATCGTAATATAATTCTAAATTAATTAAATTTTAATATGAATATCAAACACTATCAAATGAAGATAAAACGAAGAACGAATATTTTAAAATATATATAGAAACTACATAATATCGTTATCAAATCATGATATTCATATCAAATTTGGATTTGACTCAGCTCGTGGACTCTTGATTATCCAGATACCTAATTTTATTCCAACCATATATCTAAGAAAATTAGTTTAGTAGAGTCTTTTTTTCTATTTTATTAAAAATATAATTATTGTTAATAATTATACTATTATATTTTATTTTATAATGTTTTAGGTTTATAGTTCATATTAATGATGTATATAACAAAAATCGATATAAATTACATAAATATTATATCCATCAAAATAATACATAGTGTAATATAATGTATACAAGACAATACCTATCAACCATCCCACCAAGCTGCTTAATCAGTTATTTACAAGTTATCCTGAAATTAATAACTATGAACCGTCTCATACATTCAAACCAAAACATAGAATGAGATAATCGTATATTTTATCTTATACCTTACACCAAACGACTCTTACATCTGAGGTCCTACGAAATTAGAAATACTATTAATTAATCTTTTAGCATATGTAATTTAGGATTGAAGTTGTTCTACCTTTACATGGAGGAATATATATTTATTAGGATCCATGCACACACAATAAACATTTGGTTACATCTAAATATTCCAAATTGATGCCTTTCTTATCTTAGCCATAAAAACTACTATTATATTATACAAATATATGAAATTGGTGATTGACATTTATTCACATATTTTTGTGCTAGCTAATTTATAGATATCCTCTACATGACTATTACCAAACAATCAATCCAACAGATATATTGATGTTTTTCTTTAATTTATTTTTTTTTAAAAACAAAAATGGACTACATAACTAAACAAAAACAATCTTTAACTAACGGTAATAATATATACATTAACAAAGAGTGTTAGAACCTTTCATCAACATTAGATTTTCAAATGTTA